TGATGGTACACAAAGAAAGGTCTTGTCACAAGAAATATACATGTGATATATGAATGTCATAGCTCCACTAAATCAAAAGTTATAGGCAAGGTTAAAGTTTTTGCGGACAAACAGAGAGACAGACAGAGAGACAGACAGAGAGACAGACAGACAGACAGACGGACACGACAAAAACTATATGCCCCCGAAACTTCGTTTACGGGGGCATAAATACAAAATAAAATAAAAGATAAATACAAAAACCCAAAAAATTAATATTTAATTTGAAATGCATCAAAATAAAGCTTGAAATTTAAATGTTTTCATGCAATAATTTTCATATCATTCATCTTTATAAGATTCATGGTTTTTGGAAGTCTTAGAAAAAGTCTTATAAAAGTTCACATTTTTACCCCATAAAAGGAAAACAAATTAATACAATTTCAGAGATTTTTCTTGAATCCAGCCTTAGATACCAATGCTTATTAGCATGATATGAAAAATAAGAAATGATTTGTGGTATCTTGCAATGATAGCTAAAGCCTTTTTCACTATGTATTATAGAATAAGTGACGGAAATAGAGGACAAAAATACCAAATAAGTATGAAAATCATGATAACTTCGCTAAATGCCTGGATAGTGGATACCTGTCGTTTTTTAACCTAAAATATATATGATGATCAATTTGCATTTAGAAAATGCATTGCTGATATACTAATTCGCTTTTTCTGCAAAAATATTTGTGATTTTTTAATAAATTTCCCTATCTAACTTGATTAATTTAATCTTTAGAAATACTGTGGATAAATTTACGTAATTTTGTGGATTCAGAGATACTTTTATGAGTAGTTTTGATTACTTAACTGCTAATTTTATAAACATGAGGATCGGACTACCTGAACATTTCAAACATTGATTTGTGTCGTTACTTTTGGACCAGCGAAAGATGAATAACACAAGTTGTATATATTCTATTAAATTCTTTCAAATAACCCCACTGTTTACCACAGTGTATTTATAGCAAGGAAATATAGGAAAAAATTGGAAGTGAAAGGAACTTGGCCTTGAAAAAAGTTGGCCACTACCCCCTCCCCCCCCCCCAACCCCCACGAAATAGGATTTTCGAGTTTGGGCAATAAAAAAAATCTTTTCTTTTAAATTTAAAAAAAAAATTTTTTTTTGCTTGTCAATTTTTTTTTGGGTAAGTAAAAAAATTTTTCTCAAGTTGGCCCCCCCTTTTAAAAACGATCCTACATGCCTGTTCGTTCAAGATAATAGAATGAAGTTACTGAATTGTACACATGTTAACAGCGTGTGACAGTACAGAGCACAAAGTTAATAAACAATCACCGGGTCGATAACCAGGATATATCGGTTTGTTACCTGTTCACACAGTATAACCAGGACATGACGTTCAATAAAAACGGCAGCCATTACTGAAAAAAGGTAAATAGCTATATTATTTCAGACATTTGATATATTATAGACTTTCTTCTTCATATCTAGTTTCACAAACAGTAATTGTTATTTGTTCGTTAAACAGTCGGAATACTCCTTATTTTTAAAGGCTGTATCTGTATTCAACTTTCGGTTTGCAAAGTCTAACAGGGTCTTTTAAGGCTCTCAATTGCCTGTAGTGTTCTCCTGATTGTCGGCGACGATTTGAGGGGGGAGGGGGTCTTGCAACCTCCCAAAATAATTAAGAAGGAAAAAAGCAGTCTCCAAACTCGAAATTTTTTTGGAGGAATTGGACTTTATTTTTACTTTTTGCTGAACTTTTTAAGGATAAATAACACAAACAGACTTTTTAAGAAATCAGCTATATCTCTCATAGATTTACATTTTAATTGGTAACCTGAATAATGTTTATCAAATATATATTTGGAGAATTTTATACGATTTTGGCATAGGGTTAAAAATAGTGCAAAATTTTGTGTATTGAATTATATAGAAAGAAAAGCAAAGTCTCACATCTAAGCGCCAAGGAAAACCCACGATTTCTATATTTTTGGGGATTTATTGTTCATGTCATTTTAAATGAAAATCAGTCAAAAAATATATATCAATCCATGCATCTTTTTTTTTTTGTTAAGTGACCCTTCATACTCTAGATCTTCAACTTGCCAACGCTCAACCTAATACAGCATCAACAAATCGGGGAAAAACTTATATCAACATGCACGTTTACTATAGCAATAGACCATACTCGAAGCAAGTGATGGGTCACAGACCCTGTAAGCCCCTATAATGCTGCATGCCTGTATATACATATTGCCGCCTACATCTCTTACTGCAATTATATTATTACACTCACCCACCCGTGTTTAAATGTAGACTTACTGAAGGATCGATGCATGGTTTTCTTTTTATAACAAACTTGACACGCACAGAGGTCTTTGGAGACGTACCCCTCTCTCTTTTTCTTCCGTTCCCAATGAGGTCTTTGAAATTCTAAATAAAACATTTTCTATTTCTAAGTTTTATAATATAATTAAGAATCTAAAATATAGCCTAAATATAATGACCCTTTTATAAAAATCCACGCTCGCTGATAGAAGTATCTATAATGTATCTGTTGCATGTGCAGCATAGAACATGTTTTTTGCGATGAAGTTCTTTTTGAAATTTCCTGCTTTCAAATTCAACTGTTTCTTTACTTCAGGGTAATATTTCCTAACGATGGACCCCCGTACCAGTGCCCAGGACGTGATGCGATGTGACCTGTGTGAGACCGATTTGGTACAGATGCACTGTGATACGTGTCTTGTCAACCTGTGTACAGCTTGTGTAGGAAAACATATGATCTCTGATGAATCCAAGGATCACAGAGTAGTCAAATTTCAGTCTAGGAAATCAACTCTTCTCTACCCTGGATGTAAAATTCACACAGACAACGGCTGTGAGTTACATTGTAAGGAATGCCATATTCCAGTTTGCTCAGTCTGTATTGCTTCTAGAAAACACAAAGAACATGATGTCCAATTGCTAAAAGACATTTTTACCAAGAAGAAGGCAGAAATTCAGACAGAAATTACTGAATTAGAGGGATCCATCTATCGAACTTATCAGGACATAGCAGATGATGTACAAAATACACAGAGCCAACTTGATGTGAAATATGATGATCTCTTAACAGCCATAACAAAACATGGAGAGGACTGGCACAGAGAAATTGACAAACTTGTCAAGAAACTTAAAGCTGAGGTTGACGAGATGAGAAATAAAAACAATGAAGCTCTAAAGGCACAGCTGTCAAATGTACAAACTTGCACCTCTAAGATAAATGAAGATATTAACTCTCTATACAATATAATAGATTCTACAGATATTTTAAAAGTATTAAATTTCCAATTCGACAATAAAGAATACAAGATACTTCCGTCTAAATTAAATATAAAAATGGCACAATTTTCACCACTCTCTGTACAGGAACAGACCTCTGAAGTGTTTGGAAAAATAATTCCAACCACAATGACCACTGATAACCATGGTTACAGCATAAGAATAGCACAGGGATTGTTAGAAGCTACCTTGTCTCCTGTACAAGAGAAATCACCAGAAGCTGGATCCTCTCCTCCAGTCAAACAGCTGCTTGATGAACCAGAGACTGTCACCACCATAGACACTGAGTATGAATACCTTTACAATGTGGCCTGTCTGAGTGAGGAAAAAATATGGACAAGTGGAGGGAACGGCATCATGAAACTCTACAGCATCAATAAGGGATCACTACTCAAGTCAATCACAACCGAGTCAGGGAACAGACCAGAGGACATAGCTGTGACAACAAGCGGAGATCTAGTTTATACTGATCCAGATGATAGAACTGTGAACATTGTGAAGAATGAGAAGATAGAGGAGGTGATCAAACTACAGAACTGGGGACCTCGCAATGTCTGTAGTACCTCCTCTGGTGACCTCCTGGTTACCATGTACAGTAATGATAACAAACAAACAAAAGTTGTCCGTTACTCTGGGTCCACAGAGAAACAAACCATTCAGTTTGATGATAAAGGTAAACCTCTCTATTCATCTGGTCCATTTATGACAGATACATTACTGAGAACAGGAACCTGGATATCTGTGTGTCTGACATTGGCGCTAGAGCAGTAGTGGTGGTCAATCAGGCTGGGAAACTGAGATTCAGGTACACTGGACATACTCCTGCTCCAAAGAACAAACCATTCAATCCAAGAGGAATCACCACAGACAGTCAGAGTCACATCCTTATAGCTGATGATAACATTGACTGTGTCCACATCATAGATCAGGATGGACAGTTCCTGCGTTATATAGACTGTGGACTGAGTAAACCCTGGGGACTGTGTACAGATACAAATGACAATCTGTTTGTTGCTCAAAATGGAAATGGACAAGTGAAGAAAATTAGAATATCTAAAGTGAACACTTAATACTCTACAGAACAATCATTTGAAGAGAACTGTGCATTCTCTACTAATATGTTGACGGTGCGACCGATAGGACGAGCGCAAATACTTATTCAGATTTGATTTATATCGGGCTCGTCAAACAGCAAGTGGTATTTGGTGCATCTTAGTCTTGAACATCAAGACGGTTTGACTCTATCGTTATAAAGTCAAGCGTCTGGATGATCGGGACTATTGCGTCCAGGCGTTGTCATTAGAACTTGCCTTGCATTCTTCGCCGCTCGTTATAAAATTGTCTTAACCGTTACCTGGTTCAATAATGAGAAATTCATTGACAATGCAGGGCTCTAAATTGCGACTAATTTAGTCACCATGACGCCTAAATTTTTTGGATTGGTACTTAAAAAATTTCCCAAAAGTCGCCAAATTGGTTTCCATTTCAAACTAATCCTCCGATTCCGGAACTTTTAGCAAATTTAGCTTACCTGAGCCTTTCAAGTGAGCTTTTCTGATCACAATTTTTCCGTTGTCTGTCGTCGTTGTTGTCGTGTAAACTTTTCACATTTTCGACTTCTTCTCAAGAACTGCTGGGCCAATTTCAACCGAACTTGCCACAAAGCATCCTTGGGTGAAGGGGATTCAAGTTTGTTTAAATTAAGGGCCTCGCCCTCATTCAAAGGAGATAATTGGGAATTAATGAAAATTTGCCGGTATGTTTTAAAAATCTTCTCAAGAACCGCTGTGCCAGGAGAGATGAAACTTATGGGGAAACATCCTAAGGTAGTGTAGATTCAAGTTTGTTCAAATCATGACCCCCGGGGGTAGGGCGGAGCCACAATGGCTGACCAAAGGTTTACATAGAAATATATAGGAAAATTCTTTAAAAATCTTCTTCTCAAGAATAACAAAGCAATAATTTATCATATTTATATAGAAGCATCCTCAGGTAGTGTAGATTCAAGTTTGTTCAAATCATAAGCCCCGGGGGTAGGGCGGGACCACAATGGCCGGCCAAAGTTTTACATAAAAATAAACAGGAAAATTCTTTAAAAATCTTCTTCTCAAGAATAACAAAGCCATAATTGACCATATTTATTTAGAAGCATCCTCAGGTGGTGTAGATTCAAGTTTGTTCAAATCATGACCCCCGGGGGTAGGGCGGGGTCACAATGGCCGACCAAAGTTTTACATTGAAATATATAGGAAAATTCTTTACAAATCTTCTTCTCAAGAATAACAAAGCCATAATTGATCATATTTGTATAGAAGCATTCTCAGGTAGTGAAGATTCAAGTTTGTTCAAATCATGACCCTCGGTGGTAGGGCGGGGCCACAATGGCCAATCAAAGTTTTACATAGACATATACAGGAAAATTCTTTAAAAATCATCTTATCAAGAATAGCAAAGCCATGATTGGTCATGGGACTACTTTGGGATTTAAACTATTCAATAATAAACCAATTTCTACTTTTTCCTAGCCACAGTGGGCCTCTTGTTTTATTTTTCTGAAGAAACGAAAAGAAATTTTTAAAAAGATTAAAATTTCTTCTTTTTTTTTATCAATGAACATGTGTTTTCCTGGTAACCTTGTTGTTTTTTAGTAAGCAGACTTCCCTTTATTGATTACTATTTAAGAAACTTAAGAACTTAAGAAAAATTGGCTGGCAATTGCAGCTAATAAAAACGAATTGGAGACTTAATTTTTTTCTATTGATTATGCACAAGCTGGCGCCCAATTTTTTTTAGAATTCTTAGAGACCTGGTCCCGAGATCATGAAACAACTTAAGCTTAAGTCAAAATCTTTGTATTGTAATTAAATGTTGTGGAGGTCAAACAGATAAAAATTTAGATATGTTTCAATATTGATTTATTAAAGTGTTGTCAATTGTAAATTTTGAGATTAATTAGATAATTAATAAACATTTTACAGGGGAGTGAAAATTTGACTTAAGTCTATTCTGTTTCATGATCCTGCATTTTTTTTTAAATTAAAGATTTGTGATTAAAAAAATAATATACCACCTTGAAAAGAGGATGTAAAAACTGTTTTTGTTTAATAAAACTGTATAAAAGTATGGAAGTTTGATTGAGAATAATTACAAAATTTATATTTTTTCTCATAAGAGTGTTTTATTAGAAGCAATTTTCAATCATAGGTCATAGTTTTGGTTCCCTATTTATTACAAATAAATATGCTCTATTTTGGAATTGATAACATACACAATTTGTTTGTTTTTTTTTTAAATGAATCGTATAACCTCCAAAGTGTAATTCGCACATGTGAAGCCCAGTCTCAATCAGATGTGTGAACACTTACAATACCATAAAAAATCTTGAATGTTCTTGTGGTCATCAACTAGACTCACTTGCAGTGTCTTACTATTGCGAATGTATTTTATCGAAATGAACCATTTCATGTATGAGTTATATAATTAGATACAGTAATGGAGCCTTGAATGGTGTGCTATATTATATCGAAAGCGACTTTCTGCAGCTTTTGGCCTACCGAAACCTTCCGAACGTTTTTTCAATTGGAACATCTGCCTACAGCTCAGTTCAGTTCAGTTGTGGATTTCCCTCCTATGTATAAGGAGCACCCGAGAAGGTTGTTTCATAAAAGGCATAAAAATTTAAAAATAAAAGAGATAAAGTGAAGAAAACAGGTAGTAAAATCTATTCTATGAGGTGCTGTAAAATAAAGTTAGAGGTGAAAGACCAACTAAAAATAAAACAAGAATTTACATACTTTACAGTAGCTTAAGGGGGATGTACAAGCCATATTGGATCTAGTCTGGTGTAAAATAAGAAATACCAAGAATGCGCTTAATACTCCACTAAACTAGCCCAAAGTTACTCAAAGTGCTAATGCATTAATTACCTACTGTTAGAGACCAAAATTAGTAAACAATTAAGTTTATTTTGTTTTAATTAGGAGGAAATTAATCATGTTAGAACTGCGCAGCTACAGCATTTACGAGATGATAAATGCCTTGAAAATGGTGTAAGTTTGATTCATTGATAATATGGCTACAACCATTTGTTTCGCTTTTTTCTTGTCATTATCCATAATTCTTGAAAATTTGATTTTTCATATGGGTGTCTTCCTGAGGCAATGTGTTTATTTCGTCCGCCATTCCTCTGTCACACAGAGTTCGAATAACATTGATTTTATAATAAATGCGACCATAATAACATCAAGACAAGAAATCACTAAGTAATAATTAATAGGTTATATTACTTACTACTTTTATTTGTTGCATCGCATCATCTGATTAATGAAAAAACGCGATTTTAACCCCACTCCAGCAAATCGGGAAAAACTGTTCTGTTAACAGTTCGAGTTTCCTCGTTAAAATTATTCCACTGAGCACGTGGTTGGCATGTGCATATATCTGCTGTGGATATATCCGTTTATTACCATGATTATATTTAATTTTTCATGGAACAATCTTGATAATTTGTTGGTTTCTTTAAAACTCAAGAAAAAAAGATATAAATGTCCTAAACATATGTGTTTACGGCGGGTCTTTTTTCTGTGGCGATAGAAGTTATTTTCAAATTGGGCACTGCAAGGAGAATGCTTAGCATTTAATTTGAAAATGTTAAACAGTATGCGGTGCATGAAAAACAAATTGTAATTACATGTCTTACATTCGAAAATTGGTACATATGTATATTTTGTTTAGAAGTTAGATAGAAAAAATAGACAGTTATAGGATTTCCTTCAGGCACCTCACATAAATAGCTAGATTGTTTGCAATGACCAACACATTGTATGGAGTAATATTTGGACATAAAAACGCATCATGTCTCATTATGTTGACAACGTCGTAAGCTCTCGCTCATTGAACATACGAAGCTTGATAAAATATATTAAGTTGTTTCTTTGAAATTTAGAAGCGAGTACAATGTTTGCAAAGAAAGGTCCATTGCGTATGCTATGTCTATCATCGCAAAAAAGTGAGAGCCCCCCCCCCCCCCCCCCCCCGAAAATCCTATGTTTGTTTTTCAAAATAGTGCAAAAGATTCAAAAATTTTGCATTACTAAGTACGTGATGGAATATGTACTAGCCTTATAAGACCACTTGTTATAAAAATATTTGGTTTCCCACTCTCCCGATCTACTGCCTGGAAATGGCCCGACTCATTTTTTTTTACATCCCATTACACGATATTTTTTTCTTTTTCTTCCGTCAACAAATATGTTTGAATTTTTAGGAATTTCTTTCTCACCTATAAATACGGACCCAATAATTTTTCCCTGAGTTGGGAGGACCAACAAACGTCATTTTAAAGATGGTCTAAAATATCTAATTATGTTGATTTTTTTCTTTACTTTATAAAATTTTAATTTTGACAATATGGGCAAATAGAATTTTCGTCACAAGTACCTGCATGACGTCATTTTCAGATTGTGACATCACAAACAAGGAGCAAAACTTCAGCATATGCTATTTATAGAACTTGTGTTTGGCTATGTTTCTAATCTGAATTGTGGTTTTGTAGATATAGAGATAGTTCGAACTTTTTGATCACTCCTCGTACTAGTAGGTATTAAAACAAGGTCATTCATATCGATTATATGTGTCTTATTTCTTTGTGTTTCATTGGTGATAATTAAAATTTTGATAGATAATATACCAGTAAGTTATCTATGGCAAACTTACAAACTCTTAATTTTTAACTTTGATGGTGCTTATTTTTCCTTACCTGGAATCAAAGACTTTAAGATTTTTTTTTATATCAATACGTACACTATTTAACAACTGTTCGATAATTATAATACTAAATAAATTACTTCAAGCAACACTATAACACCTTTCCTCTCTTAAAAGTGTTCATATTATTTGAAATATTTTGCAACTGTAATTCTCTTCTACATTTAAAGGTTGTTATGTCCCTCCATATTAGGAAGAGGTCTGGAAAACAAAATTCTGTGCTAAAAATAGACCACGTGCTGCTATCCATGAACTACTTTCATGGTTCTTTGCACTCTTTTTGAAGACAAGGGTACCTTGTTTT